TATATACATCAGCAGTTTCTCTGTGGTCCATTTGTGTTCCAGATGCGAAAATGGGTTTTCGAATAATATATGTAGGGCCTACCGTGTATCTTTTAATCGTGTACCTACTCTCTTGTGTGTATCCTCTCTAAAACGCACAGTCCATAGATATGTACAATAATAAACTGATATTCTATAAATGAACCTCACTTCATGTCCTTGTTTGTTGCTTTATTTCAGGAAACCCCAGTACCAGTACGTCGACGTAGGCCTAATATACTTGTTACCCCCATTCTAACTAAAAAGAAATATATAGAAAGACATGGAGTGAAAAAAATGCACAGCTGTTTCATCGTAGCTTAGTCACGGCATCTCCAAAGGTCGTCAGTCTTGGCAGTCAACATGGCATTCTTCGAGGACAGCCTTGCTAAGGCCATTGTGAAAGGGAACGTAGAAGATGTGCAGGACTTTTTCAAGCACGGTCTCGGCGCTAACTACATCTTCTCTAAACCGGATCACCCGGAGCGCCTCGGCAAAACGCTGCTGGAGCTGGCGGTGGGTGATGTAGCAATGCGCTGCCCTTGAATTGAAGCCCTGAGAACAAACACTACTAAGGTGAAGTCCCATTTACATGAAGATGATTTCGAGAATATGAGCAAAAACCTCATTCGTGAAACACATTCAAGCAAATTCCGATTAGAGGGCTTAGATAGACTTTTTACTGGACTTGACCTTATTCTTGCACTTAGGTTTCGCCTCTTTGAACAAGAGGAACGGAGAAGGAACGGAATAGCGCTTCGTCACTGCTACTAATAGACAGCCCTTTGTCGCCGCTTTCGAATGATAAGCAGAACTATTTTTTAAGGAAAATGTGACTTAACCTTGTTGTTGTTCTCAGGTCTTCAATCATCAAGATCTCTCTGCTCAGTACCGGTACCTAGTTTTGAGAAACTTGACGTTAAAAAATTGAGTTTTACAATCTGTCAAGCTTTTTTTAATGCAATTCTTTGAATGTCCTGATAACGAGTCCGAATGTTCTTACGAGTTTGATAGAGCCAACAGAACATTTGATAAGTGACGTCATGGTCTTCTTAGTAACTCAAAACGACACATTTTTTGGTTGTAATTCTAAGGTAGAGAATGACGTGTAAAAAACTATCTATAACTGAGGTTTTCTAAGTTTTCATCGACATAACATTGTTGCTTTAAAAATATAGATATAGTATATAGTTTGCTTGTTTTTTACGTTTACGCTCCCATCGACACAATTTAGAAAACTTAAGAGGTAGGCTTCCGACCCTGCCTATCATCAAGGCCAACCCGGGCTGAGATGGATACAAATAATGTACATCATCACTGCGTACTGCGTGCGACAGTGAAGTGCCTAACTGCTACACCACAGTCACCAGTCAGTACTTTTCGGTTTATTCTCCAGTGTGTGTAAATATTATACTTGTCTCATTTTTTTTCAGGCGTTAGTAATACAACATCTTTTCGGATGGTTGATATATATATATATATATATATATCTGAATCTTTTCGGGTGGGTGTCGGCCTAGTATCTTAATCCTTTTGGGTGGGTGTAAAATTATATCTGAATCTCTTTGTGTGGTTGTAAACTTTCGGGTTGGTGTAATATTATCTTAATCATCTTTTCTGGTGGGTGTATAGTGTCATATAATATAAATATATCTGAATCTTTTCGTTTTTTGGTGGGTGCACTTGCAATGTGCTTTATTAAAGGTAAGTGTCTTGACTCAGCCACTTTCTGACGTGATGTGTGGTTGGTCGGAGGTCCCGCCTCTTTAATAACCTAGTCAGTACTAGTAGCGTTGATAGGGGTGTTAAACATATATACCTTTTCATTACACCAAAATGAGGCATCGTCCTTTTCAGTACCCCAAAGTGAGGCATCGTGGTGGAATCAGGCGCTCGTCAAGATAATGAAATCGAAGATAAAATCGTCATTTTCCCTCCAGTTTGACATTTTATTTCTTTTTTTTTTTTGGGGGGGGGGGGTGGCCTCCACCTTTAACACCCATTTAAAAGCATATTTCTGACTGGAATTTACTCAAAAACATTCATTAAAAGCACAACAAATGTAAATTTTCTGCTTCCAAGGACTCTCAAGCTTTGGGAATCACCAAACTTTGGTGGACATTTTCTTGCTAATTTTACCTCTGAAATCAGGCGACTCCGACCTCCTTCAATTGCAAATACGTGTATCACGGCTTCTAGTTAAGATAGGCGTGTATTTTTTTTTCATTAAAGAATGGTCAAATGAACAAGCTTTAAGATGATACCAATAATTCCACATATGCAAAAATAGACGTGCGCCTGGTTCTACCGCGTCGTGACACAACTTATATACTGTCGGGCAAGGATAACTCAAACGCTCTTCGTCGACACATCCATAATTCGGTTAAACTAATACGACGGCGAAACGTTAAAGAGATATAATCGGGGCTCTCGTGGTTTTAGAGGTACGGTGTTCGCCTCTCATTAAATAGGTTCTGGGTTCGAAAACCGAAGCGACGGAAAATTTTGTACTTTAAAACAATTTCTCCCTTCACCTTTCCTGCTCTCTAATTATGTTCTGTCGTCTGCTTTCGTCTCCACTTTCTGCCCCCCCCCCCCTTCCACATCTTTGCCCCCTCCTCTGGACTCTTGACGCTTTCTGTTGCCTTTCTTCTGTTATTCCTTGGCTACTCCTTACTGCTGTCTTTAAGCCATATCCTTGAGTTTAGAGTAAGTATGATCTAACACCTAGCTTTCCTGGATAGGGACGACAAAATCTCAGAAGTCCAATGTGTGCAAGATGCGCACGTTAAAGATCCCTCAGTGGTTATAAAATCGATAAGAGTAGGCTTCGGTCGACACCCAGGCAAAATTCAAAATTAATTCCTACCAAACTGAAAATGCATAATGTGTCCTGCGTGCTCATCATATGACCGTATGAAGTTGCGAGCATCGCACAACACTTACAAAGATATCATTAGGCCTATCACTTTATCATTATCAGTCGGGGAACTGCACATTGTACGAGCTCTCCGAGATTTCGAGTTTTCTATGTTCGTGTTATCTGTACCCGACTGTATGTAAGAAATACTCTTTCTGCTCTACTCCCTCATCATCATCAATGCCTTCCACCCCTGGCAGGGTATAGGCCACAAACAAGCTTCTTCCATTTATCTCGGTCCTGGGCCATTCTTCCTAGTTCATTCCAAGTGAGCTTCTTCTCTCTCATGTCCCTTTCCACACATCTCCTCCATGTTTCCCGTGGCCTACCCCTGCCTCGTGTTTCCTGCAGGTTCCACAGCAGTGACTGTCTTGTGATGTTTCCGCGGGACTTTCTGAAGGTGTGTCCCATCCATCGCCACTTTCTTAGTCCTATTCCTACTTCTATCAATATCATTTTGTTCCGTCCTTTCCCACAGCTCTTCATTTCTTATTCTATCCTGCCACTTCATTCTCAGAATACTCCTCGTGCATCTGTTAAAGAAAATCTGGACTTTATTCAGCACTGTTTTTGTTATCTTCCAAGTTTTGCAGCCGTAGAGGGGCACAGACTTGACATTGGAGTTAAAGAGTCGAATCTTGGTGTGTAGTGAGATGTTGCTTGCTCTCCAGACTTTTGATAATTGCTTGAATGCTGACCTTGCCTTGGCGGTTCCTACTTTTACATCTGTTTTACCCCCTGTGGCACAGCGAAAAGCTTCTTCAGCGATGTTTATAAAACAAGACTTATTACTGTGCCAGAAGAGTAAACTGGTTTATTATGTCTAAATGAATCCTACTGGTTAATTTTTTAAAAATGTATCAGCAAGCGCTAGAGAATGATTACAGTTCTGGAAAAATTCATTATTTTAAGTTCCTGTAATTTTTTTTCGTTTTTCCCCTATGCGTCAGGTGTCCCATGGACAGCAAAACGTGGTGCGCACCCTCCTCCGCAACAAGTGTGACGTCAACCTGAAGGTTGTCGTAGACGTAGAAGATTATGCCGTGAAAATGAAACCCTATGTGAAGCAGGACCGGCTGAAGCTGACATGTGTCTACCCATGCATCGTAAAAGACGACGTGGAGATGGTTAGGCTACTCGTGAGTGGTGGGCTTGATGTGAACCTGAGGGATGAGAGAGGCTGCAGCCCGCTGTGGCATGCCGTTGACACCAACAACTACGCTATGGCTAAGGCCTTCCTACAGAGTCCTAACTGCGACGTGAACGCGAAAGACGTGACAAAACTATGCCCCATTCACGTGGCTGCCATTCATGCCAATGTGAAAATTGCTTCCCTGTTGGTGCGGCACGGTGCACACGTTGATGTCCCGACTGTCCGAGGTTCAACTCCGCTCATCCTGGCTTGTAAATCAGCGAGTTACGAGACAGCCCGATTACTGTTGCTGAACGGGGCGAACCCTAACCATGCTGGTCTCAACGGACACACGCCCATCTCTGCTGTCCTCGAGTGCTGCCCGGACAGACTGATCCTGGACATACTCATCGAAGCTGGTGCTGGCATTGACCGAGCCGACATTAGGAAATGTCAAAAAGAAAAGTTGCCTTTGCTCAAGTTATGTCCGGATGTTTTAGAGACTCTAAAAATATTAGCGTCTGCTCCGCGCTCGCTTAAAATGCTCTGTTGTCTCGGAATTCGAAAATGCTTGCTTGCGTCACATTCTCGTCTGCATTTAATGCTCAAAGTGCAGCAACTTCCGTTACCAAACATTGTCAGGGAGTTCTTGTTGCTGAATCATCTGTAAATCTAACATAGAAAACAAACCCAACCCCGAACTGTTTGCTACGTTACACTGACCAGTAGCAAGGGACGAGGTACCTTAAATGTATGTGTAGGATATCGATACTTTTTTATCCACTTTATTGTTTGCGTGTGAACAGAAAAAAATTTTGATTACAAAAGCCTACACATTATTTATATATATATATATATATATATATATATATATATATATATATATAGAGAGAGAGAGAGAGAGAGAGAGAGAGAGAGAGAGAGAGAGAGAGAGAGAGAGAGAGAGAGAGAGAGATATATATATATATATATATATATATGTGAGGCGTGCTGACAAAATGAGTTACTTCTCACAATCCATAAATGGAGATATTTGCCAAAAATCGACACTAGGGTCAAATTTGTAGATTTTCTATTGTTGCCATATACTTTGACTATAACATGCCTTTCATTATTTCATACATATAAATTGTAAAAACTTCACCTATAAGCGTGATGTATCTATTTTTACAGTGCTCGAATCCGAGAAGTAACTCATTTTGTCAGCACGCTTCACACACACACACATATATATATATATATGTACTAGATTTGTTGGTTGTGCAGCTTCTCTTACTTTCCAGAAAAGTATCAAGAGGAAAACTTTCTTATCACGAGGAGCGAGCTTATAAAACATCCACAATTTTCATCCATATGCAGAAGAAGACTTCACTATATAACGAGATGTGAACAAAGAAATGAGAAAATACAGCAAGGTTATAAAGGTGAACATGCTTGTTCTGTTCCATAAATATGTTATCTAAACTTATGAGCACTAAACACAGAGTAAGTCATTTCCAAGACAGAGTGAAGTTCCTGCCAAGGAAAAAAGTTAAAGGAAATTTCGTAGGAAGAGTAACCACCCGAATCCCGAGTGGATTCCAATCCAAGCCAAAACTTTTTGCTCAAGTTCAAAACCTCATGCACAGCAGTGGTCTACCTAAAATAGGTACAATGTACCAAAATTCGGACCCATTGAACTGAGATCTCTTTGACAAGATTTTTTTTGAAAATATATAAACTATATATAAACCTTATATAAACTGAAAGAATGCAAAGCTGGACCAAAAACACAGGTCACCAAAACATGTCTTCCCACTACATGAAATGTTTTTAAATGAAAGCTTTCCAGCATCTGTGGTATAGCAGTTAGTAGGTGCTTCACCATCACACACAGAAGACGTGAGTTTGATTCCTGCACAGGGAGGGTTTAAAAAAAAAAATCAAGTACGGTATCTCTGTCTGTCAGGTGGGACGTTGTATCCCTCTCAGCCCGGGCTGACCCCGACAGGCAGGGTCAAAGCAGCCTGCCTTCTAAATGATCTAAACAGTGTCGATTGGGGCGTAAAATATTTACAATAGCAATTGTTTTTGGTGGTGCTTGATTATGTGGGTCAAGGTCATATTGGAGGCAGTGGCCACAAGCCAGTCAAGAGTACAAGTACAAGACAAATGAATTGATAAAGCCCAAAATTGTTTGCTAGAACGAGTGATTATTACGGCAGGTTCTACTGCAGACTTGACAGAAAATGAAATAGGAAGAACTGAAAAGCAAACCATGTGCCCTTTGTTACTTCTGTACCCGTACCACTTTAATACAATGTCACCACTTGTAATTGAACAAGAAACAATTGAAATCATAGATTCATGCAAATACCTTGGTTTTATAATAGATAACAAATTTACGAGGCAAAATCACATAAACAACATAGTTAAAATTAGAAAAGTAAATCAGAGGCTGTACTTTCTGAGGAAACTTAGGTCTTTCAATCTGAATCCATCTATCCTTCAGATATTCTACACCACCACAATAGAAACGTTGATAAATTTTGGTATCTCTTGCTATGGATGCGATTTGGGAAGACAGCACGTCATAAAAATAAACAAGTTGATCAGAAAGGCATCAGAACAATGGGTAGAGAATCTGAACAAAACAGACGTTAAAAAAAAAGGAAATAATACTAAGTGACCATAACCACCCACTGACATCGGAATTTCAGTTTCATCTGTCCCCGTCGTTTTATGCAAGAAAAATTCTGAAATTATGCAAACTGAGTCTAAAAATGTGAAATCGTGTGATTCTGCTAACAAAGAATGATAGAGAAAAATAATCAGAAATTAGGCAAAAAATGATCAAATTTTGCTAAATTATGCGGGGTGCATAAAACCATGGGGACAGTTTTATTGACCCGCAGTAAACGATACATTTCCAAAAGAGCAAGAACAGAGAGATATAGAAATTCATTCATACCAACTGCAGTGAGGTTACAGAACACACAGAGCTATAAAGGAGAGAGAGAGAGAGTGAAAGAGAGAGAGAGAGAGGGGGGGGGAGGGAGAGAGAGAGAGAGATTTACGGAGTGGGTGTTTCAGCATGTGAGACATGTATTTACTAATGTCCTGTCTTGTTGTGCGTATGCGTGAGTGCACCTAAGCTTTGTAACAACATCTACTGCCATTGTAAACGATCAAGACAATTTCTCCCTGCGAAATGAATAAAGATGTCATTGTCAATTTATTTCTTTGTTCTATGAACGGTACATATAAACACAAAAACAATTACAGGATGAAAATACCATGTAAGATCAATGAAAAATATCATGAAGCCCACGTGAAAGCATTGCACATACATGTATAATACAAGGATTATATGTATAAAATGTGAGGCAGCGTGGAGAAATCAGGCGCTCGTCAAGATAACGAAATTTAAAAAACCTGCATTTTTCCGTCGGTTTGGCAATTCTTATTGAACTTTTTTTGTTTTTTGTTGTTTTGTTTGGGGTTGTTTTTTTTGGGGGTTTTTTTTTTTGGGGGGGGGGGGTGGCTCAACACCCTTTATGTCCATTTAAAAACACATTTCGGTGTGGGATTTACTGAAAAATTTTGATTAAAGGCACAAAAAAATGTAAATTTTCAGTTTCCAAGGACTCTCTAGCCTAGCTCTTGAAGTCACCAAACTTTGACGGCCATTTCCTTGCTAATTTTACCTCTGAAAGCAGGCAACCCCCATTTCCTTTAATTTCAAATTCCTCGACGTTTATTCAGGACAGATATGGTACTTTTTTTCATTGAAAGCAAGAAAAATGAACAAGCTTTAAGATGACACGAATAACTCCACATGGCCCAAAACTGACGAACGCCTGATTCCACGGCGTCATGACCCAAACTTGCATTCACAGAATGTGTTTTCTATCCAGTAAAATCAGAAACAAATCACCTTTGGCATCACAATGAATTAGATTTTCAGGTCCCAATTTTTTAAAAATTTATTGTTTGTATTCAAAACATATTATACATATATAGCATAAACATTTCAAACATAGCGCAAAAATTTGACGTCAGAGAGAGTAGATCTTATTAAACATTTTGTTTACCAGAGTAGCCATGAAGACAGAGAGAGAGAGAGAGAGAGAGAGAGAGAGAGAGAGAGAGAGAGAGAGAGAGAGAAGGGCATATAATATATATTACATTATGTAGGCTATATATATATATATATATATATATTTATATATATATATATATATATATATATATATATATATATATATATATATATATATATATATATATAGAGAGAGAGAGAGAGAGAGAGAGATATATATATATATATATATATATATATATATATATACAGAGAGAGAGAGAGAGAGAGAGAGAGAGAGAGAGAGAGAGAGAGAGAGAGAGAGAGAGAGAGAGAGAGAGAGTGAGTGAGAGGGAACCCTACAAGTGCAGGCCAATGATCTCTATATACCGAGAGCAGTGTAGGACAAGGAAAGCCAGGGTCATTGTATAAAGATTTTATGCCCCCTTCAACACTGTAGGCGCTCCGTCAGTTCAGCCGGTATTATGCTGGACTATGGAGTGGATGGCCCTGGTTCAAATCCCAGACAAGCTAATTTTAGATTCGGGTCATTTTGTGGAGTTTCCAAAACTCTCAGCCCATATGGCTCGGTCCTATTGGAGACAGACGTTAGATACCAAGCTCTTGCCTCTTGGACAACCTAATAATGTTGATAGGGCGCTAAACCCATACATTTTCTTTTTTTTTTTTTTTTTGGTCAACACGAAAACATTACTTAAGAGGCGAGACCTCCAAATTTAGCTTCTATCTCCAACAGGAATGAGTCAGACGGGTGGAGAACTCTTAAAAACTCCCATGACAATCCAAGTTCAGAACTCCTCTTACGGGATTCGAATCAAGGAATCCGCTCAGTCGTCCAGCATGATACTTTACTGACTGAACTATACATATATATTGGGAACCCATATATTATATTGCATTTGTCACAGAGGTGTCTGGCGGTAGGCTGGATCGAGCCTGCACACTTCAGTTAAATGTGGGGAGACTGCAGTCACATGAAAGCACGTATCCAGTATTGCCACCATGTGTTTCAGAGCGCTTCCTCTTCAAAAGAGACAGTACATGAGGCATCGTGGTGAAATCAGGTGCTCGTCAAAATAATAAAATCAAAGAAATTGTCATTTTTTTGGCAGGCGGGCAATTGTTTTTTAATTTTCTCTTTTTGGCTCAACACATTTTGTGCTAATTTAAAAACACATTTTTGGGTGGATTTAACTAAATAACATTGATTAAAAGCACACAAAAAAGTAAATTGTCAGTTTCCAAGGACTCTCAGGCTACGGAAGTTACCAAAATTTGACGGCCATTTTCTCGCTAATTCTATCGCTGAAACCAGGCGACCCCACCTCCTTCAATCTCAAATATCTCGACTTCTATTCAAGATAGAGGTATTTTTTCCACCCCAAACAAGACAACTGAACAAGCTTTAAGATGATACCAATAACTCCATAAGCTCCAAAATTAACGAGCACCTGATTCTACCGTGTCGTGACAAAGATGGCACATTACGCAACAGTTTGTCAGTGTTCTACAAAGTTCAGTAGAGGTGAAGTTATAGAGGAGAGCAGAGCATAAAAAGCTGAAAGTGAAAGGCTTCTTCCGTCCAAGAAAAATGGCTGATCCTAGCAGTGGTGGATAAAAAAATAAATGTAAAAAACTCTCACCTTCAAAACAATAGGAGTCAATGAGCCCAACATGGATAGTGACATGGTCTGAGGGGCATAAATCATGTAAAAATTTGAGCCAATTGTCCAACTTTCTTTATTACCCTTGACATAGTTTAAAATACCAACAGTAAAATTCTTTCAAAACTAAAAGGTATCCACATCTCGCTGATTTCGCTACGTGCGTGTTTGACTGTATGTTGAAGTATATGTATACAATTTACATGTAATATGTACTGCGTGCGTGTTTGACTGTATGTTGAAGTATACAATTTACATATAATATGTACTGAGTGCGTGTTAGACTGTATGTTGAAGTATACAATTCACATGTAATATGTACTGTGTGCGTGTTAGACTGTAAGTAGAAGTATACAATTCACATGTAATAAATTATGTACTAGGGAATCAATGTAAGAGGCACATTGTGCACACTTTTCCACCCTCATTTGATAAATAATATAAATTTGGGTTCTCATAAATAATATTTTACTCTGGAATGTTTGTAAGGTACCTTCAATGATCAATTTTTAAAAATACACAAATACTGCAAAATAAATGCTTGTCCATAAAATTGTACTTGCCAATACAAAATTGAGCCTCTCCATCTTTCATAAACAATAAAGGCTGACATTGGTACTCACTCTGCACCAGCATTGTTTAGTGTCTTATTATGAGGAGGTATCAACAACACAGATGGGTCTACCCCCTCCCCCCCCCCCCCCCCGGGGGGCAGTGCCACTGACTCAAGTGTCTTTAGGCCATTCCCAAAGGGGGGACATTTCTCGTTCATGCACAGTAGAATTGTAAATGGGCTAATTCATCAATGTCATGCTTATAACTATGCCTGATCTACAACAGGGAACTGCTGCTTTTTCTTTCCTAATCCTTACTATTGTCATTTTACCTCTACTTCTTTTGTATGTTTGTCACACTCTTGTGACCCACTATTTCCGGGGTGCCTTGATAGCCGAAGTAGACTTTGTGCTGTTGAAGCTAGAGAGGTGAGCAGAGTAAGTCTGATTCCCTGTAAAGACTTCTCTGTTGACATCCACCCCCTGGCGCTCGTATGACCTTATGCAGTTGTGAGCGCTGTAAAACCTCTACTAAAACTGACTAAACAGATGGGTCTTTTTTTTTACACTTTGAATATGAAAAGAATGTGCGTGAAGTGATAGGTTTGCACACACAAACTTAAAACAGATTTGCACATGTAGTGCATTCTCTTCCTCTTTTGTTGGTATCCCTCATCTGTCTTACATACATCCATTAGACCAAAATGTCATGTATTACATCAGGAATATGTTACTCATTAAAAGAAAATCCCAAACTTCAGATACCTCAATAACATAACATATATATCATATATACACATACACAAATTTTACTGTACTTTACTTTTCCGATCCAGCCTTCACCCTGAATAAAAAATACTAAGAACCTGTGTTTTAAAAAGTCATTACTCCATTAAAATACTAAATATAGATCCAATATTCAAAACCTCTCAATCTTTCTCAGAATGCACTTCTTGAACACTTGAAGAATCAAATTGGAGGGATCTCCACTCTCAAAACAACACAAAGCTGTCATTAATCATATTGAACACAGAGTGGTTAAAAATGGGCAAGACCTCAAGGTGCGCAAAAATAAACCAAAATGCGTTAAATTTGAGCAAAACGTCATCTCTGATGATCATATTCATTAAACTTTTTTAAAAAATAGATCAGCAAATAGGGAGCAGATTGTAGTAAGAATTCTATAACAATTCTGGTATTTGTTGACTTTGACCAAAGAGAAGTAGGCCTACGTTGACACAATAACAGTCAAGTGGGCAGGAAAAAGTAGGAAAGACAGACAGACTGAAGTAAGAGAGGGCAGGAAAAAGTAGGAAAGACAGACAGACTGAAGTAAGAGAGGGGCAGGAAATGAAAATTGTAAAAAGTAAAAGACAGTTAATAACTTGGATCGAAAATTCATTCAAAATGTCAAAACTGAATTTGAAGCAATGTCATGCAAATCTCAGAATAGTTTTGCCAGTGTCAGATTCAATTTGTTCCATGCTGCCTTTGCTATAAGTGCTTTTTCATATGGTGGCTGCCATTTTGGTTTACAGCTGTTATGAATTATACAGTTTTACCCAGTGCACATTTGATAGTCCGAGATGGCCAGATTTCCCTTCATGGAAGGGCAAAAGCTACCATTTTGGGATAATTTGATCATATCCTGCACAATCAAACATTTTATTTCTAGGCCATGGACCCAATAATATGTCTGATGACAGTAGCCTACCAGAAGGCAACTACACATTGTGGAGTTGGATCTCTTGTTTGTTCACAAAATGTGATAGACCCTAACAGACTTTCAGGTTGATTTGATGAACGAAGCAAAGCAGAGGTGATTTGGAAGGCCCTATAGTATGCAGTGGAGCTACCATTAACCCTTTTAGAGCCATACCAGCCTAAACCGGCCTTCCTGTCATGTTGCCATGCCAGCTTTCACCGGCTTTCCCGCTGTAGAGACATAACGGCTTTTACCGGTCCGACACACTGGCCTTTAGCGGCGGCTTAGAAATAAGAACGTTCCACTCTAAATCTAGATGCTGACGCCGTAGGTCTCTGTATGTGAAATTTCATTGAAATATGTCGCTTCAATCAAAAGTCAAAAGCAATGCAATTTCTTTGCTACTCCCCCTGATCCTCTGAAAATCACTGAAATAATTCGGTTCAGGGAAGCCATCAGCTGGTCGCCATTTTAGTTTTCTGCTGCGGTGACCTGCTGACCTATTTATGGTGCTAAAACTAAGAGGGTTAACTGACCCAACCTCAAATGTATCAAATGGGCGACGTGCACTGGGTGTAAAGAAAGGTTGCTTGAAGAAAGCTGCATAGATAAGAAGGAACCGACCGAGGGAAATCCGGAATTACACTGGTCTTGTAGAAACAGAATGGCTACAGACTTGAAACTGATCCAAGGTTTGTTTGCTTTACTTTATTAAGAGTTTTACGGCACTTGCAACACAATAAGGTCATATAAGTGCCAAAGATTAGAGGTGTTACAAGAGAGTGACAAACACAAAATAGAAGGAGAGATAGGGACGATAGATGTTTGATAAGAAAGAATGAGCAAACTACATCAGAGCACCCATAAGCTACCCACTGATTCGAGGTTTAAGAACAAGAATATCATAAACTTAACTCTTATAAGTTAGCACATCTGCTTGCTTGATGCTGCTCAATTGTTTTTTTCCCTTTTTTTTGCTCATTAAACAGAAATATCTGCTTGCTTGAACTACGATCATATTTTCATATATACCAAATCATCATACTTTTCCTAAAACTTGGTGTGTATAAAACATGTTTGTAGCTTGAAACTTGTCTTTTTAAGCTGAAAATACTAGCATTTACATATATTTTAAACTAAACTTGCTGTTACAGAGCAGAGAATAGGCTTATGACTAGTAAGAATAAAAGCACCAACTTTATGTCTTATGAGCCAAAAATACTGGCAAAGTAAAGCATTTAAAATTACTGATTACAATGTTGTGGGATATTAAAAATGGACTCTTCCAGATCCCACTCAAGGGCACTCAAACAATTTTTTTTTGTTTAAGAGGAAAGGCAATTACTATGAGTGGAAAGTTTTACCCTCGCACCTATTTTAGTCCTTACTTTTATAATGCAAAAATAGGAATGATGAAACGGTATAGGTGTAACACTATCAACACTATCAAGTTATTTAAGAGGCAGGACCTCTGAGTTTATCGTCCATCTCCGAAAGGACCGTGTAAGCGGGAAATTCATGTCAAGTATCTTTCCCTAGGACACAATGCTGGACAGAGCTGACGCTCGAACCCCAGAACCCACAACTGGTATCCTTTCCACTAGGTTAACGAGCCAAACCTGTAAAACAGTAACTCTACTGTAAGAGAGTTCATAGGACACAAAAGACAGCAAAGTGTTCTGCTTGCTGAAAATTATTATCCAATCAACCACAACAAATATAGACCATCTAGGGAGCGGGCTACCTCCACTCTGTGTGCCAGACCTTACCCTAGACTTAAAATGGCCACCACATCAAAGCCAAGCAGACGGAAATACTTGATAACATAACTGCTTTATATATAGTATAGGAATCCACTCCACCTCTTTTGAAAGCAACAGCAAAAAGCCTAACCATTACATCACACACACACACACACCAGTAGCAAGGACTCTTCAGTGCTTAACCCGGCAAAAGCGTATTTGATGATTCAGAAATAAGGAGGAATGGAACCGAAATAGCTGCTCAAATCACAGGCATGGATACAACCCATTGATACTACAACGACAGATTTACTGCTGATTAGATTTATTAAGGATGACACCAGGACTTTTAAGTTTATAACTTTTTCTGTTGCATGTTGTCTTTGTCACATATGAATGTTTATACCCTGTTATTGTCATTGAACGGAAATAATTATCATGAATCAATGGCAGCTGTTCTTGTGAGAAAGCACTCGGCTAGAGAGACTTTGTGTTAATTTTATTCATTTTTATTTTTAAAATCAGATGGCACACCGAGGAGACAAGTCTGTTATGACTGAGCCACATAGCTACCTCAGAATTACAAAGTTCTATCTGACATTGTTGGCCATTTTGAATACTAAGACCATGAGGTCAGAAACCAAATGTTCTATCTGCTCTATCAAAATCGTGAAATTATTCAGAGTCTTTATCGAGATATTCAAAGACTTGCATTCGAAAAAGCTTGACATGTGAAACAACATTTTTTATGTCAAATTTCTCAAAACCAGGTACTGAGCAAAAAGAACTTTATAATTCCAGAGTGGCCACTTTGCACAGGAACAACATGCTGCACTGAACAGTTCTAAAAACGAGGACAGAGGACAGACACTTACCAAATATACAACTACAGCCAATAAAAAAGCTTACTTGCATCACGAAGAAGACTGGTACTAGGAGCTCAGAATGTGAGTTTGAATAAATCATACTGTTCAGGTGTAATGAAAGTAAGCCGTGACCGTGCATGGCTCCAACTGATCAGTGGAAAACAAAAGCCTGACCCAGTGAGCACTGAAACCCTCTGGGAAAACATAAAACTGATAAGTCGATCCTCTCGTAAGTGACATTCGGTACACACTTGCCCAGTCATCCAAAGATCGATGACCTGAATTGAAAAACAAGAAAAAGAAAGTAGTTTGATGTACATATAATATATAATCATTTGTTTAAAAATTGCATGTCTCGAATAAATTCTCCCTTGTATTCTTGTAATAGTACATATTTGTACCGTACAATGAAAAAAAAAAATACAGCGGAGTTTCAACAAAACCGAACTCGGATGAAATGACTTTTGGAAACAGTTTGAACCCCCAGACCAGGTTAATGATAACACTGTAGATTATATCTTGTGTGCACACAGCTCTAGGAAGTCATCATCATCATCCGGTGCCTTGCTGACTGGCGTGGGCGATCATGGACCTCCACTTCATTCTGTCTTGCGTTGCAGCAATGGTGTCTGTTGTTCTTGCTGCTCCCAGCTATGTTGTCATCTTGTCCAGTACCTTTTCCCTCTGTCTGCCTCTGCCTCTCTTTCCACCAAACTTGCCTGTTGTTACAATATTCTCCAATGCTTCTTTCCGCATTGTGTGTCTGAAGAAATTAGCCTGTCGCTTTCGTATTATATTCGTCATAAGCAGTCTTCTGCAATTTGCTTCTACCAAGACTTGTTCATTTGTTTTTCTAGCTGTCCATGGGATACACAGCATGCGTCTTATGAACCACAACTCTGTCGCCTCAATTGTTCTTTCCAGCAGTTTGTTGATTGTCCATGCTTCGCACCCCTATAATAGGATTGGCTCAATGTAACTTTTCAGTACTCTTTTTCTTGTTTCCAGAGACAGATTGATGTTTGAGAGTATCCGTTTCATTTTGTGAAAGGTTGCTTTTGCTTGGCAAAGGCGGCTTTTACTTTTAATTCCGGTGTGACATCTCCCATCTGAAGATATAATGGTCCCCAAATATTTAAAATGTTGTACTTGCTTGAGGGTGGTTTAATTGATTTTGCTATTGCATGTTGGGGTTGGAGTTTTTCTGCTTATCCCCCATTGTTTCTGTTTTCTTGATGTTTAGGCTTAAGCCCATGTTGTCACTCTCTTGTACGATGACATTTAATAGATTCTGTAGGTGTTCTTCATCTTCTGCTTTTAGGACAGTGTCGTCTGCATATCTTAGATTGTTTATATTTTGTCCCTCTATCGAGATACCAGGCATTTTTTCTATGTATCTCATGATATTTTCACTATACAGGGAGAACAAGTCAGGTGAAAGTACTCATCCCAGTCTGACTCCTCTTTTAATCTGTATGTATTCGCTGATGTCGTTTTCTATACTCATTGCAGCAGTTTGATCCCAGTACATTGTCATGTTCTTGATAATCCTTAGGGAGTGCTTATTTAGGCCACATATGGCCCAAATAAGGTAAGGGAGGGGGGTTTAGCTTATTTAGGCCACAGTGGACTGTGGCCTAAATAAGGTAAGGGAAGGGGGTTT